GTCATTGTAATCACAGAATCGTCTTACTTATAATTTTGTAAGATTCTAAAATCGTTGTATTTATACTTCTGTAAGTGTATGTGTGCATGTATATGTAAACTGAAATGTTCTGTAATGCCCGTTCTCCCTCTGAGGCACGCAGGCTCGGGGCTGAGGCAGCTGCTCTGAACGGGAACTAGGATAACGGTGTAGCCGCTTTTAATGTTTTATTTCTAGCATTTGTTCGGCTCCGGATATGTATTGAAATATACATCTGCTTTTAAAGAGGTGTCTGGGGGAAAGAAGACAAAAAAAATTTTAATCGTCAAAATGCAAAGTAAATGCTGGAGCTGGAAATCTTCGAACCGGTGCTATCAGAGTTAGACCCAGTCCAGTTGAAACAAAGACAATTTACCCATCTCCACAGTTCTGGGATCGAAGCTGGTTTTATCCACAGCTTAGCTGTGTAGAGAGAGGGAATCTGTAAATACAAAACCAATTGTGCTGTTTCTTTTCGGGAAGTTAAATTTCATTCTAAAATCACGGGCCAGTTATTAGTCGAAAAATTATTAATGATGATGATGATAGAAATAACCTGATAAATTCCATCTAAATGGGTTCTATATGTATGTCAGCCGGGGATAGTGAGAAGTGCACTTGTTTTGTTGATTGAAGCCGAATATATTCCTGTCAATAAAATGATGTGGCACTGGAGGAGGGGGTGTTGTCGGTGACACCTAATACGGGCGTTTCGGCAGCTGTCGTTCCTTCTTCCACAAACACTTGTATTTGGGACAAAATAGGGGCAGAACGGCACTAGAATGGTTGCTGACACCATATTCGGGCAGATGAAGCAGAGCAGGCACGAATAAAGAATTTCTTTTCTTTTTTTTTTTTTTTTTTTCCTCTCTCTCTCTTATCTGTCCATTCCCAGCTGCGGTTTCCTTTTTACCCCAAACCTGGAGAGTGTTCGGCACAAGAGCACGTCGGAAGCCAGTGAGGGCTTTTGAAGGTCTGCCCGGTTAGCAACCCACTGGAATCCGTTCTGCTTTAAATCGCGTATTTCTTGTACCTCCCCAAGCAGCAAGTCTAGTGCCGGGGTAAAGAAGGAGGAGAACGATGAGTTTCCTAACATGAGCGGAGGTCTGCTTGGCGGCGAGGGCGAGGAGTGACGGCGGTAGCAGCACAAAGGAGGGTGCCCGTGGAAGGGCCGAAGAGCATGTCGCTCCGCCATGGAGACGGCGCCAGGCAACCCTGGTACCTCAGCTGCTCTGTACGGGGCTCCGAGCGTAAATCCCGCGGGTTTCCTTGCGGGGGCCTCGCCGGGGCTCCTGGTGCTGCACGTGGTGTCCGCCGTCGAGGCTGCGCCCCAGCCGCTGCCGGCCTCTGGGCCGGGGTAACCAGAGGGAACGAGCTCACGGGCTCCCTGCGGCTGGACAGCCCTGGAGATGGGAGAGAGGCGCGGGATTTCGTTGGCGTTTGCTGCAAACGCCGCAAAGCCAATGCGAGCTTCGCCGTAGGGGAGAGAAGCTGGGTCGGCTGGGCCGTTCCCCGTTGCAGCGTCCCTGGGAGTCCTGGGAGGGAGCAGTGTGCTGCGGACAACCTGGGCCGGAATGCCCAAAGGGGTGCCGGCACCTTTCTTTGCTCCCTTCGGGCAGCGCCAGCTCCCGCCGCTTGAATCTCTCGAACCGCACCTTGAACTCCCGCCCGACGGGGATGGGAGTCAATCCGGCTTCCCGGCCCGGCTATCACACTTCTTCCCCTCCAGAGAAGATGAAGAGGAAACGGGTGGGTTTTGCCCCAGCAGCCGAGATCCGGGCACTGCCAGCGGCTCCGTCTTGCCGAAGGTCACATCACTTATCCTCAGAGCTTCCGCTGTGATTTGCATCTGTGGTACAGCTGTGGTTTTTAACTTCAGACGTGTTTATGAAGTAAATAGGAGACGAGGGCTCTGCGATGTTCGCAGGGAACATTTCTGTTTCGATCCTTCTGCTAGCCAAGGTCAGTATTGGATGCGATCTATTTTCGCAAGGGAATACATGGAGCCATCAGTGTTGCAGCCGCTTTACGCTTCGATGCCTGGACGGAAACGTCATCGACAGAAACATCAAGGGATGCTTCACCTCACTCCTCTCTCTCCAGCAAACTTGGGATAGGAAATAGAAGTGGGAACAACGGGAATTCCCTGAGAGGAAGGACTACCTGAGAGGGATCTTGCTCTCTCCTCCTAACTGGATATAGCGGAAGCCGCTATATGGTCCCTTGCTATGTCACCCCCGCCCCGTCCGACAACTGGGTGAATTCTTACGCACTGCGTTATTTTCTCTCCCCCCTCGGTCTCATGTTTGCCACTGGAAGTGGAGCTTTTAGCACGTTTTATTAAGTTAGGAACACGTGCTCCGCAGCAAAGAAAAACTAAAAGAAAAACCACAAACAACAAAGATCTTCCAAGTGTAAGCTCCTTGCTACCGCAGGCACAGCGGCTTTTTCCTTCATGCTGCAAAATAAACCTAATGCACTGGAAGACAAACTATGTTTTATCTGACTTCATCTCCCCCCTCTCTTTTCTATGCAGAGAGCTCACTAGAAAAGGTATCATTACATTCAAAGGATATGGTTTCAACAAAATGGTAGTTCCAGTGGCTGATGAAAGAGGAAATAATTGCATCCCACATGCCTAGCCTAGAAGTAGCCCTGGACCTCCGAGCAATTTTCTCTCCTATTGTTCAGAGAAAGTGAAGTATCCTCATCGCCTTACAGGCATGGTGATAGATCTGATAGGGTTTCTGTAAGGGCTTTTATTGCTTCTGCTGTCCACTCAGTTTTACTTCCAGGCTCAGACCAACGGCATTCTTGCGATTTTTGCTCTGAATCCCCTTCTAAAATAGCTACAAGCAATTTCGAAAAGAGATCTGCCTTCCAGACTCTAACATGTGCCCAATCTTCTGTTCCCTTTGAAAATAAAACCGCACTGAAAGCCAATAGCAATATCATTACCCTAATTTTGGAAAGCGTTTTCTTTGAGCCCGCCTGCCTCACTGTGAGGGATGTGTTGTACAAAGTCCCAGCTATTGAAGCAGATGGGGTACCCAGTCACCGCTTCGTTTATGGATACATAGCCTCACCAGATTCACTTCTCATCTAAACCCCTGTCAATCTGAGCCTAGAAGATGCCAGAGCCCATCGCTGACGACCACAACTCCGACAAAGGGCGGTGCAGGTATTCGGCCCCGCGGGGATCAGAGCACGGAGAGCATCCTCCTGTCTCCAGCAGGCAGGATCTGGGGCTACCCCCAGCCATGCTCGACGGCAGGGGCAGGGTGGTCTCGGGCCCCGCACCGGGGCAGGGCAGGGGGCAGCGCAGAGAGCGTCCCCCGCCCTCCCTCCGCTCATCTTCCGCGGGTTCTCCGCGGCGGCATCTGTGGCAGTGGGGCGGACAGAGACCCGGGCCATAAATTAAATAAATAAATAAATAGGCAAACAAGCACAGGGATGCACGGCTGCTGCCCGCCGAGCAACCTGCTGCGGACCCTCCGCTAGGCAGCCCGTGGCTTTCACTGGTGCCTGCAACCGCAGTAGCCCTGTCCTTGCTGCCCACAGCTGGGAGAGCTCCGGGGGTGGGGAACGCACAGACCCTTTTTGCTCACCCCCGAGGAGCCTGATTTAATCCCCCCTCGGTGTAACCTTAATCCCAAACTCTGGCGTGCTCCCTCTCACAGCTTCCCTCCCCCTGCAGCCCCCTCCTCCTCCTCTCCGCCTCTGCTGGGGCTGTTGACAGCGGTGACGGGACTGTTCCGAGGCCATCCCCGCCGCGCATCGATCGTGCCCGGAGCAGTTCCCGCGGCGGCGGCGGGGAGTGCAGGGCCAGGCGGGCAGCTCCTCTCTTGCCGCTGCCCTCCCGCTCCGGGACGGGATGGGACGCTGTGCCGTTGTGCCGGCTGGCCCGTCCCTCCGGGAATTGCCCCCCTGCTCTCCCGCCTTTGGGGGCTGCCCTTCTGCTCCCCCCTCCTCCACTTATTGATTTCAAGGAGGGAAGGGAGCGTTTCTTTGGATTGCAACTCACCTTATGCATTCTTGATCATTATAAAAAAAAAAAAAAAAAATCCCGCAGCTATGCAAAGACAAGAGCTTTAAAGAGTTTGTAGCTCGACAGGTAAGGACTCGGCTGAGGCTCAGGAATGTGGAAATTCAACTCAAGTCAGCCTACTGCGACGAGCAATATTAATAAGGGCATACAGGTACGGGGGGAGAGGCAGAGAGGGAGAAACTTGGCAACTGAAATAACAGAGTGAGCTCGGTTGCTGCCATCGAAGGCCGAGGAAAGAGCCGCGGGCTCCCGGGGAGCCCCGCTGCCGGCCGTCCCCGGGCAGCGGGCCGGGAGGGGGGCCTTCGGCGGAGCCCGCCCGGCCTGCCGGGCGCGCCAGCGCGGAGGCAGCCGGACCAGTTGTCAAGCTAATTTCAACACGTCCGCGTGATGGATAGAAACGCAAATTGTGTCTAGGCCTGCATAAACCAAATCCCCGAGTGCAGGTTCAGAGCAGGGATTCCCCTCCTCCCGCCCCTTTCGCCTTTTTAATACTTAAGCTCTGCTCTATTGTCCCAGCAGCAGCGGCTGAGTTAACTCTGTCAGGCTGCCTTTCTTTTTTTTTTTTTTAACGGAGGGTACTGTACGCCAGAGATAATATTTAAGTTCGCTTAAGCAGTACAAAAGAAAAGGATCCGTCATCACCCGCCACCGGCTCTCTCCAGGCTCGGCGCTGCCGGAGCGCCCTACCGCCGGGCACCGGGCTGCCCCGGGGCCGGGGTGGGGGGCACAGCCGAGCTCCGGGGGCTGCCACCGCCTGGGCACCCGCGAAAGGGGGGAGACAAACAGAGAGGAACAGTCACCTTCTCTCTTTCCTTCCATCCTTCCTTCCTTCCTTTCTTTCTTTCGATTTTCCTTTTCTTTGCAATATTTTGTCCACAACTCCGTAATAATGTGACCCAAAAGCCAAGGAGATTTGTCGTGCAGAAGAACTTACCCTAATTTGACATAGATGACTCCAAAGCATAGAAACACGTAGAAAATCCACTTGCGAAAGTTTCTGTGCATGATCTAGAGAATGGACTGAGCCATAAAAACTGCACGAAAAGCCGAACTGATCTTGTCGATTAAATCCCAGTCAGGAGTATTGCTGAAGCTACCCGGGAGCAGGGCCGGCCGAACTGTAAAAAATCAACACCGTGCAGATAAGCAGCTCTTCCCAGAGCCATGGTGAGCGAAACCGGCTCCAATATGAAGGCTCCAGAGGGAGGCAAAAATAGAAAGAGCTGCTCAAAATGGTAAAACAAAAACCCAAGACAGACAGTCTGAGGGAGAAAATGAGCAAGCACTGATCTTGATCAACTGCCTCATAGAGCCCTGAAGTTCAATGTGTTTTTACTTGTTCTGACTTCCCCAGGTAACACTACGTATCTTGCAATCTATGGCTCCAGGTAGGAGGATCTCTCTCTCTCTCTCCCTCTCTCTCTCTCCCCTGCTCTTCCCCCCACCCCGTATGTGTCAGGATCTAATACATATCTTATCTGTCCGTGTGTATGTGAGGGTGCGAGCTATGCGTGTGTTTGGGTTTCAGAAGGCATGTCCTTAAGCCTGAGTGTTGGGGAAAACACATGAAACGTATCCAGTAAGGGAAATAAAGGACTCGTCCTCTCAAACCGAAGCATTTTTTCATTTCCTCTAGTATGGTAACGCGGCTGGATTTGCAATGTATGGACTTCGAAAAAGAGATTGTTAAAACCTTTTTTTTTTCCCTTTCTTCTTCTTCTCCCCCCCCCCCCCTTTCTTTCTCGTTTTCTTTTTTTTCCTTTCTAATCAAAAAGAGGCAGCATTAACCCCTGTTTGCTTACAGCACCATAGCCTAACAGGCGGGGGTGTGTGTCAAGGCTCTTTGGCCGTCTGACCCTGCTGCTGTACACAAACGCCTGTCACTAAATTCGATTTCATTTTTCACAGCAAGAAAACATTCTTTCCCCTTTCAGATACACATATGCTTGGCTTTTAACACGAGTTTAGGATATTCAGTTTGCTGCTCTTAGAGACATTAATCGGCAAGACAAAACCTCACTTTGTGTTCAGACACTAAGTCAAGTAAGGCTTCCTTTCTGCTTTTCCTTTCTCTCTCTCTGCCTTTTACTTCTTTCTCTCTGTCTTTTCTTTCTTTCTCACTGATTTTTGAGCTGCTCAGTTTATTCCCGCATTCTGTGGAGTTATCTATTTAATTCTACTACACAATGTGTGCCTGTCTGGAAGTATATGCCTGCATGCATATGCACGCTTAAATAGCACTCAAATACAGGTTTGTGGGCTGTGGTAAGTTATATAGAAATGGATAGACCCGTGCACCTATGCCCTCTCATACACATACTTACATATGCATGTAAGTAACAGTAAGCATAGATAGCTCTAGGCATCTCTCAAGGAGAATCGGCTAAACACACACCAGTAAAGGCTGAAAGGAAAGCAGGCAGTGACAAGCAAGCAGAAGAGGCTCAGCACAGAACTTCATCGTAAAGTATCTATCCTGAGGGAGAAAACAAAGGATTTTTGAAAGCCTGGCCAGGCTGCTGTGGTTGAAGAGACGCAGTGTGAAATTTCAAGTCATTTTCAGACGACTCACACAGCCAACGCTGCCCGCACCTTGCCATCACCCACACAGCTCCCGAACACAGGGGCTCCTAGGGGCACCAAGTCTGTCCTTGGAAAGGGGGAGCAGAAGGACAGAGAAAGGCCCCGCTGTAGTGTACATGCAGAGTCCCCTGGGCCGGAGGGAGAGGGCCGAGCCTGCCCTCCTCCCGCCGCCCTCTTCACACCCCATCCCTGCTGATGGGGTTCACTCTGCCTTCCCCCCGCATTCCTCACGGCTTATTCCTTAATACTCAACGCTCTGGCTCTTGCAGCAGGCAAATAGCCCCTATCCAGACCGCTTCTGCTACATTTTCCCTAATACTTAACTATGAACAACCTGTCCTTTCAAAATGCTGGGGCTTCCCTTCACACTCTTATATCTAAATGGCCTTTTCCCTCCCTTTCACCCCCACTGACCCAATTCCAATCCCCCCTCACTCCACCCCACCATATTTGAAGGATTTTCATGTGAGATGAGGCCGTGTTTCCCTTTTGAAAAACCATTTTTCCAAGAGCCTCATAACTTCACCCGGAGCTGCCATCCAAACTCTTCGACCAACACCCAGAAGTGCACTCAAGATGCAGCACTCCCTCTTGGTTTTCCCCTCTTTTTTAAAGCCTTTTGAAGGCGAAGACACCCCCCCCCCCTCCATCCTGCGAGCCCCAGAAGCCTAGGAGCGGGCGCTGCCCGCGGCCATGGCGGACTCGGGGCAGTCACAGCTTCCGTCCAGCCCGGGCGGGCGGCGGCAGGGCTGAGGCGGCCTCGGTCGGGGGAGGCTCTGCCGCAGGCTCCGCAAACGGCAGCGGAGAGCGGAGTCGGGGCGGCCCCTGCGCCGTGCGAGACCGCGTCCTGCGGGGTAACACCGCCACCCAGGGGCGGCCGGCGGCGGCGACCGGGGCGAGGGTCAGCATCGAGGACTCGTGGGGCGGGGTGGGGGAAAACGATGGCAGAGTCCTCCTTCCTGCTGGGCTGTGATGGAGCCGCAGCTCCCGAGCCCTGGCCTGGACCTGGTTTCCGGTGTGGAAACCGTCTTGGAGGGGCACGCTTCCCCTCCCTGTGAAGATGTGCCGGTTTCTGTATAGGAACTGGACACTGGCTGGCCACGGGGATTAAGAGTGAGGGGCTCAGCAGCACACCCATTAGTTGTGAGAATTCTTCTTCAAAGACCACTTATATGTGTTTGTTTGCTTTTTTTTTTCTCACAAAACCCGTGGAAGCAGGACTGCAGATTGCCTCCACCTCCTCAGTGACTGCATGCTAACCATCATCCTAGTGTGTCCTACTTGCCTCCTCTAACTAGTGAGTATTCCTCATGCCACCATGCAAACCCAAGAAGTTTTGACAACAGAAACTAAGCTAGTTTGCATATAAACTAGCTTGGAGATAAGCATCGTTTACAGGGCATAATATTTTTGTGGTTTTGACCCCTACTCCACTGTTACCTGCAGCTAATTGATTTGGAGATGCTGGATTTGGGGGAAAATGAGAGACTTTCTTTCCTTCAAATATTGGTTTAACTATTGCTGAAAGCTTAGGCTGAGGATAAGATTTCATGAAGCTTAATAATTCTGTGGTTTAAGAAAAAAATCCCCTGTAGAACATTAAAGTAGGTAATTCTCACATTAGCGTTCAGGAATTCATATAGACACTTTATAGGCAAAATATGTAAAGCTTGTTGAACTACTCTAAACAAATACTACCTTAGAAATGGTACAAAACTTCCTGCAAGTAAGGTAATTAATATTCATAAATACAAAAGCATTGTGAGTTGAAACCATCTGCTGAATGCTCTTGTTGTACACAACCATTACCTATTACTCATCAAAAATAATTGTCATGGCAGGTGATATACTCAATTGAAAACTCAAGTAATTAATTTTTGCACCCATTGACCTTCTGCTGACAAAGCTTAACATTCACTCCTCTAAACCCGATGAAGGAAAATTCATCTAAACCACACTGCTGCCTGTTCCCACCGCCTTTTGGTAAAATGGCTCCTGTGGCAAGATATTTCAAAGGCCTATTGGACTTGATCTTCCCCAATCCACCACAAATGCATTTATTCCCACTCCAAGTGGAGAGGTTTTACCTGCACCAAGGGAGGAGAAGACCTTGAGAAGTCACCAGTGTGCTGTGAATTTTTCTGACAGCTTAGCCAACAGGAGGTAACTCTTGGGTGCAGTAACTCAAGGGTAACTTTGGTGTCAGTTCCTTAAAAAAAGGAAATGCCAGGAATTAGATTCTCTGGCCAAGACAGGGGTATTGTTTTATTCCAGACTGCATGTCACCCATACTGTGCTGCAAGGGACGCAGTGCCATTAGTCCAACCCAAGCTACTACAGCTTGTAAGGCCTTACAGACCAGGGACTCTGTCCCACCAGGAGGAGCAATCCCCACAGTATGAGGAGAGTTTTGCAGCTCACTGTAAAGCTCTGTAAATGGAAGTATGAGCAGTGCTGACGGGGAAAGGAATTTTAAACTGTTGGTCACAACTCACATCATCTTCCCTGGAGCTTATTTCCAAGTGTAGTGTTAAAAATCAGAACAAATCCCGTGAAATTTCTGAGGAATGCAGACAGCAGGGATTCCTCTGCCACAGGCTACTTTACAATCCTTTCTCTTCTTTTTGTACTGCTCAGGTCAATCACAGGTAACTAGTAGGCTCGTTACAGGTCCCAGAAATCTTAACTATAGGGAAAATCCAGCTGCATTTATTGCAGCCAGCCACTGTCTGGCACTGTTGCTCCACGCAATTGTAGATGAAGGCTTCATCTAACACGAAGTGTGAAAATGTTCTTCATGGAAAATACGGAGAGCATAGTGGCTGAGAAAGAAAGAAAAGAATTAAAAGAAGAAGAATGACTATAAGAAGCATACAAAAAGAGGTATCTCATAGCTGACCAGGATCTTACATACAATTTACACGTGTTCTTAACAAATGTCCATTAACTATATACACTTACTATTACTAATCTTTAATATTTTGTATGCATGTCACCAGGCCTTTGCACATGAAGTGTTTTCTTAAATTACTTCTTCTCATTTACCCAGCAGCTTCCTAGGCCTAAGATGTCCATTCTTTCTGAGAGACTATCAAACCCACCCTCTGCTTCTAGAGCTTTTTTTAAGACCCATGATGTCCTTCAGGGAGCTGATCCCAGACCCTGTTCTCAGTCATCTGGTCTTTGAGCTGTGATTCTGAAGAAGGGCATGAAACTCATCTCATAGGTGATTATGTTCTTGAGATACATCTGGCAAGGTGTCCAGCACAGAACTGATTAATGGCAATAAAAACTTTGCACCAATGTCAAGGTCTGAATCTGGTCTTATTTAGCAACTGAACTTTCCATTGCTCAGTATTACGCACAACAGCATTTGTCTACACCTTTGATTACCACTGGCTTTCATTTCAGTTCCTTTCCCATTTTTCATTCCCTCCCTGTTTCTCTTCCTCTTTTCCCCTCTCTCTTTTACATCTCATTCCCTGGAATATTTTCTGCTTCTCAGGGTATCTGTCTTCCTGCAATTCCTAAGCCTGCTAACATTTCATCAGTTTAACACCAAATTAGTTTAATAAGTAACATAGGTGTCCAGACTCAGTTGCTTCACATGTTTCACATTGTTCAGATTAATCCTGGTTTGAAAATTTTTGTTTACTCTTTGCTTCATCGAAGCTGAGAGGCATTGTTCAAGCCACAGAAATGTAGAATTGTATATATTATACATGTCTGCAGTACCAGCACGAGATGGAACTAACAGACTTTCCCACTAATGCCCCCTTTGCTAAATAGATCTTTACTAGCTTTGTTGCACTGGACTTAATATAGTTTTAAATTCTTTATTCTTCATGAGCTGGCTTCTTACTCAACTGACTATGTTAGTCTGAAAGATGCAGAGGAAGGTTCAGCAGTTAAAATGGAACATGACTAAGAAATATAATGGCAAAAAAGGTTAAATACTCCAAATAAATTGGCACGTTGAATGTACATGTTGTATGAGAACTAATCCTTTTACTCTGCAGTGGTAGGAAATCTAGAATGATGGATTAACTGTGTCTTCTGGGCAGTATGCTTCAAGAAGAATATAGATCAACTGGAGGCAACCCAGAGGTGAACA